GGGAAAACTCTAGACACAGGTTCATCAGAGCATATTGAATGGCTCCGCTTTTTTGTTGAGTCAGCCTGCTCCGGCTGCAGATCGGGTCGTCTTGACTGATGATCTGGCTGCTGGCAGTGGGAATCAGAATGCTGCTGACGAAACTGTTGCAGTAAGAGGAGAGATGGTAGTGCCTGTGGAATAGACTTGCCAGCAGGCTCCATTGACCGGCTTTGCAACTGTTGCTGTTGGGTTGGAGAAACGCAAAGGGGACTGGGCCTTGCTGGCCTGGTTGCTGTGGTTGACTGTGCGGCAAAACGTTCAGAATCGGGAACAGAAATCGAGAGTTGTCGGCCAGAGATTGTCCGACGAATGGATTTTTGCGGCTTACGCTCTTGCTGCCGATGTTGAGAATATCGATGACAATGTTGGTTCTGACGAAGATGAGATGATGGTGGTTGTGATGGAGGAGAAGAAGGAAGAGAATGTGGTGGAGGAGGGCTGCCGTACTGGCCGGACTGATGGCTCTCGCTCATAGAGGCACGATGAGTATGGGAGGAGTTTAGCACCGGTATTTGGGCTTCTTCGGCCCTCGAGGGGACTACTAGGGCTGCAGAAGAGGATGTTGGTGGAGCCAATGGTGGCGGGAAAGGAGGTGAGGCTGGCCGAATCTCCTCAAGGCAAGCAGGACAAGTGGAAGCACGTGTGAGCCATTCATCTATACAGACGCGATGGTAGGTGTGCAGACAAGGTAAATATCGAAGCTCCTCACCTGTTTCGTATTCACACATGCAGATGATGCATCTATAGCCGTGTATAGAGCATATTAGTGAGTGGGTTTGGTGTATGAGTGGGTATGTTTAGAATAAAGAGAAACTGATGAGTACAGGTGATCAGATCTATTAAATGATATATATGCGAGTCAGTGTGAATAATTTAGTCGAGTGTTGCTATTATGGGAGAATATGTGAATGCATGAATGGATATTTGTGTGTGTGAATGGGCGTGTGTGTAGGCAGGTAAGGGTAACAGTATAAAAGTTATTAGTAGATCGTTTTATTAGAAGAAATCGAAAGCTATTACTAGAGCCATAGTCAAAGCTCTTAAGACTTCCGTTCATAAAAAGTGTGAAATTGCAAAAAATGAGCATTAATCATTACTTACTGGTAAATCACATTTAGCAGAGGCTAATGACGTGGTTAGAGGATAACATAGCATCCTGAATAGAGCATTGTCAAAATAACCCTTAAAGAGTTCAGCCAGCAAATCTGAAAGAATATCTTTCAAACAGAATAAAAACAATTGTAAAATGCTACAGCATCAACCGGTGTCGAGACCGGTGGTCGGTACCTTGTATAATCAGCTTTAATTGCATAACGCCTAAGCTGTATGATTATGTGAAAGTCTTATGGAAGTATACACTCGTCGGTTGATAAGTTGAACTTACAGTGATGATTGAGACTACGATACTGACAAGTATACAGACGTAAACGAAGACTCTCTTAAAGATGCTACAAGATGGCATGTCAGTTGGCTTGTTATCCCAACCTGCGATTTTTCCTATGCTTGAATTGAGTAAATCTTATAACTAGAGCGACCGAGTCCTATTTAGGCACTGCTAATAGTTTTCAAACATACATACACTGAATACACGTTTACTATTATCACAATGGCCACTGTCTGAACTTCATAAAAAGGCCGAAGCTCCAAGCTTAGACAAACCTCATCTAAAAAATCAAATAGGGAAATAGATATGAAGACCAAGATGGTGTGGTTTTCTGTTTGGTCGCAGTCCCCTTTAGCTTTATAGTGTTAGTTCGACCTTGTTTTCACAACCTGGTCGGAGGGTCAGGGGACCTTGTAGAATGTACCTAGTCCCGTGTCTTCTGCCATAGTATTCGTGATTTCCAGCATCGTAGTCAGTTGAGCAGGACATTTGTCAAGGGGATTGCCTCAATTTGTCACCTTGATACATTGTAACTCTGTGCTAACGACTATGACTGACGAAACGTTTGTGAATGTACAAAGTCAATGGTCGAATGCTGGAAATCACGAATACTATGGCAGAGGACACGGGACAAGGTACGTTCTACAAAGTCTACTTGACGCTCCGAACCAACACTATAAAGAGGGACAGTTAAAATTTAATGCCATATTAACTAAAATTAGACTGAGATGGGAAAGAGAAAAAACACAACGGCTTTAGATGTTGCCACTCCAGTTGGTTCGTTAAGTTAAACGAATTAGAATTGTTAATACATCATGGTCGATATTCATGTTTGTTTTGGCTTGTTCCATCCACTCTAATCCTTTGTCCCTAGAGAATATTCACTAACGTTTCAGCAAAATCAGATATTCTGGCTGTGATATTAGGTCTGACCGAAAATACAGATATTTGGATAGACATCAACCGATAATATAAAATGTAACGTCCAAAAATGGGATCTGCAATGGCTTTGTGTTTGTATACTTTATCAACGACGAACGTGGGGCCAGATTAGCGCAGCTGTTGTACAAGAAACATGGAACACATCCGATTTTCCATCAAAATGCAGGAATTGTAACAAGATAAGGAAAACTTGCAAGATGTTCTGAGATTGGCAAATATGATGGATTGCCGACTAACTTCAAATCCGAGCTTGTAAAAAAAATGGTGTGGCCTTTATTGACATTTGGATAGTCGTGAAGGGAGAACGACCATTGAACGACTTGGTTGAAATATTTACGCCTGGGGGTTTTCTGGGAAATTTCTCTATTAGATCATATACAATAACAAGATTGAGATTATAAAATTCAGAATAGTAAGGAATTCATATTTAGCAGACCAAGAATTCTGAGAGAGAGAATTGAATCTAAAGAAAAAACTGCATCCTACGCTAATTATCGCTTAGGTTCCATTATAAGTAGCGTATTATTGGCGAAACGATAAATGATGAAAGAAATATGTCGACAACGGCTGGGAGATGAAGACCGGTAATTTTTTTGGCCTTCATTGCCCTAAAAAGGTTGGCGAACTTCTTGGAAGGAAAGAATGAAAGAAACTATCGAAAGAGATATTAATACTTTCCATTTCTAAGTATTCATGCAACAAGGAGACTGAACCACCATTTAAACCCTCAGTTGCACAAACCTGTGATGGAATTGTAAGTAAGTAGGAAAATAAATTAAAATATGATATTGATCGTCAATATAAACAGGTCAAGAGGACTGAACTTACAGAGAAATTTCAATCGAATATTTTTCGTTTATAAATAGGCTTTCGAGACTATC